CTGCCTGGCTGCTACCGCAGCAGCAGTACCCACATGTACTCTGTGAAGACCTCCCAGATAGTCCTGCCAACGCAGATATCCCCCAGGGGATAGATGCGCTGAGTACAGCCCCAGCTATGGCTGTCTCAGATGGCGGGTTATGGTGTCTCCGGTGCCACTGCAGACATTCAGCGCTGCTCAACTTGGTTGGCCACCAACGCTGCATGCGAAAAATGAAAGCCAAAAGTCCCCCTATCAATTTCCCTCCTAGACTTACGGATTCCTACACTAGCCTAGACCGAAACTGGACTGACTGGACCTACCGGTACCGTTGCTGTTTCTCGGCCTCTCGGCCTCTACCGGACCCGGCTATAGGCTATAGGACCATATACCAGTATAGGCCGCTTAGGGCCTGTCTGTCCTAGGGTAGCCCGGGCCTGCTATAGGCAGTTAGGGTAGTAGCAGGGATCCGGTTAGTTTAGGGCCTGTAATCCCTCAGAATTACGGGTCTGCCCCTCGCGAATTTCCCCACAGGCAAGTCACTGGGTTAGCCCTCAGCCAAACAAAATTGCGAACCTAACCCTACGGTTAGTGTACAGCCTTGCAGATAAACTCGGCAGCAGAAATCAGCAAGTCATTGCACAACCCCGTAGGAGCCAGAACCGTGTTCACGAGAGAACTTGCGGGGGCTGCTCCCCACCTGCAGGTGGGCGATACCGGCTCGGGGAGAGCTGGTAGCATCAGGGCCCACCATGCCAACATCCTCTACGAACATCGACACACACTGCTCAATACCGATCAGCGGATCCCGATGTCTATCTCTAGGTGGCGGGTGCCAATCATTTGAAAGCACCAGTACAAGATCAACATAAAGAAGTGTCGGTTTCAACGACCTTAACTCTTCTACCTAGGTCCATACACCCGTCACCATGGCCTGACACCTGAGGATATGAAAGTTGCACCCATGAGGGAATCGCTAACACGCCACAGTCTGTGTCTGAGGGACTGAGGTGAGATATTTCTTCGGAAGAGTTGGCTACTATCATTTAATTTCACTTTTAAATTAATCGTAACATATAAATGATTGAATGATGATTCATAGTTATGGTCAATTGGACTCAATCCTCTCAAGTGCAAGGAATATGAGTATGGACGAAGCACAGAAATCCAGAATGCAAAATCACACTGAACTCCAAGTATTCAAAGCCAAAGCAGATAGCACATGGAACCGAGTAACCATCCCATTGAGAATG